ACACAGTAGGAAGTGCTAACTGGTTTCCAAGGTGGGGAACCTTGAAAACATGCGGAGGGTAAGAAAGGAGGGTAAGAAAGAATACAAACCATGTAGGGACAGGACGTAGAGAAGAGGTCACCAGGCTGGAGGGAGAGGATGGTGGCAGGTGAGGTCAATGGAAAGGGCCTAACATTGGTGTTTTTTGGCTGTTCCACGAACCCGAATACACTAAAAGCACTGGGACTGTAAATTCAAATGAGTGAATTGTACATATACAGCTCCAGTAAGACTTTAAAAGGGAGGCAGCCTGGGGCTGGAGAGGCTCGGTGGCTGAGAGCGCATATGACTCTCGCAGGGGACCCAGGCTCAGTTTCCAGCACCATGCCAGGCAGCACACAACTCTAGCTCCAAGGGATCTGACTCCCCTTTCTGGCCTCCACAGACACATACACACATATTTAGATAATTAAAAACAGAAATAAGGGGATTGGAGAGATGGATCAGTGGTTCAGTACACTTGTCACTCTTGGAAAGGGCATATGTTCGAGTCCCAGCATCCACGTAATGGTTCACAGGCATCTACCTGCAGCTCCAGTTCCTGGAGACCCAACAACCTCTTCTGAGCTGCTGGACACAAGTACACACATAATACATATATGCAGATAAAACACTCACACATAAAATGAAATGAATAAGTCTAATAGTAATCTAAAAATAAAAATAAAATCTTTCTTAAAGGAGATAGCAAAAATCTATACAGTAAGTATGTTGTACATTTTCCTGGGTTTCCACTTTTGTTAAGATTTTAGATGAGCTTTCTTTTAAAAATATTTTTACTTTTATGTGTATGGGTGTGCTGCCTACATGTATGTCTATGTTCCACATGCGTGTCTGGTGCCTTCGGAGACCAGAACAGAGTGTTGGATTCCCTGGAACTGGAGTTATAGACAGTTGTGAGCCACCATGGGGGTGCTGAGAACCTGGGTCCTCTGCAAGAGCAACAAATGCTCTTAAGCACTGAGTCAATGCTTAAGTAGAGGTTCCCTGTCTACCTTAAAATCTCTCCCTCACCTATGCTCCCACCAAAGTCACATACCAGCTCTAGTGAAGAACACACAACTGTGCTTAAATACAGAGATGCCTCCCAACAGTTTCCGTAAGACGATTTGTGGCTACTGCAAAAAGTCCATTTCTCATTTGACTTCTCAATTTAAACCAGAGATACTTTCCTAAATTAAATCTTCACTTCGGGTAAGTATCAAGAACTTGTGAAGACATTGGAGCACCGGACTGAAATCCCAAGGTCCAAATCAGGAGCAGAAGGAGAGGGAGCATGAGCAAGGAACTCAGGACCGCGAGGGGTTCACCCACACACTGAGACAATGGGGATGTTCTATCGGGAACTCACCAAGGCCAGCTGGCCTGGGTCTGAAAAAACCTGAGATAAAACCGGACTCGCTGAACATAGTGGACAATGAGGACTACTGAGAACTCAAGAACAATGGCAATGGGTTTTTCATCCTACTGCACGTACTGGCTTTGTGGGAGCCTAGGCAGTTTGGATGCTCACCTTACTAGACCTGGAAGGAGGTGGGTGGTCCTTGGACTTCCCACAGGGCAGGGAACCCTGATTGCTCTTCAGGCTGACGAGGGAGGGGGACTGGATTGGGGGAGGGAGAGGGAAATGGGAGGCGGTGGCGGGGAGGAGGCAGATTTTAAATAAATAAAAATCTTTTTGAACTAACAAAAAAAAAAAAACAACTTGTGAAGAAACTCAAGTCTCTGCCTGCCTGCTCCCAAAGCACTCTCCTGCCCACCATTGCCACTCAGGCAAAGGAGACTGACTATACTGAAGGATGCCAGGACCTTTCTGGGATGCTGGAGACACAGTGCTGCATTGGATCAACAGACAAGTAGCACTACAACTTACCAGCAGGTGTCACTCTCGAGCTTCTGATGCTCAAGCGCCAAACCACAAGGAAATAAAGAAAAACAAGAGCCACTAGCTGCCAAGAGGAAAGCAAGACAGGCTACAGGGAAAATGTCTTACAATGAGACTGAGTAGAAACTCCCTGCAAACATCCTCTCAAGTCATGTGACCCGGATTAACAGTTTATCTCTGTGACTTTCTTCTTGAGAACACCTCATTCCACTTCCATGGTCTAAGTAAGAATGCCTTCAGACAAGTGTCCACTGAAGAGTCTATGAAACACCTCATTAGAAAACCCCAAAACTGTCAAAAACCCAGAAAACTTGAGATACTGTCACAGCAAAAACAACACGAGGGCCTGGCTGGTGACCTGGAAGGCAAGCACCTCACATCTGTGTAAAATAGTGCAGCTGGATACTGAACACTAAGAACCTGCTCGCCAATTTTCACAATAACCCTAAAGCTGTTCTGAAATAAAAAGCATATGTTTCTTTTGTTTTATTTTTGCTTTTTGTTTTTATTTCAGGAAAAAAAACACAACTAGCTGCCCATTTGGCCAAGTCTATTTTAAGGACTTGTTCTGACGGCTCTAAAATGGCTGCTTCTTTCTCAGGCACATTCTTAAGAAACTGGATGGCAATCATTGGTGTTTTTGATTTTAGCCATTCTGACAGGTGTAAGATGATATCTCAAAGTTGTTTTGATTTGCATTTCCCTGATCGCTAAGGAGGTTGAGCATGACCTTAAGTGTCTTTTGGTCATTTGAACTTCCTCTGCTGAGAATTCTCTGTTCAGTTCAGTGCCCCATTTTTTAATTGGGTTAATTAGCATTTTAAAGTCTAGTTTCCTGAGTTCTCTATATATTTTGGAGATCAGACCTTTGTCAGTTGCGGGGTTGGTGAAGATCTTCTCCCAGTCAGTAGGTTGCCTTTTTGTCTTAGTGACAGTGTCCTTTGCTTTACAGAAGCTTCTCAGTTTTAGTAGGTCCCATTTATTCAATGTTGCCCTTAATGTCTGTGCTGTTGGGGTTACACATAGGAAGCGATCTCCTGTGCCCATCTGTTGTAGGGTACTTCCCACTTTCTCTTCTATTAGGTTCAATGTGTTCTGACTGATAGTGAGGTCTTTAATCCAATGATAGCCTTTGCTGGAGAGGCTGTGGAGGAAGGGGTACCCTTATCCATTGCTGGTGGGAATGCAATCTTGTGCAACCACTATGGAAGTCAGTGTTTCGGTTTCTCAGGAAATTTGGGATCAACCTACCCTTGGACCCAGCAATACCACTCCTGGGAATATACCCAAGAGATGCCCTATCATATGACAAGAGCATTTGTTCAACCATGTTCATAGCAGTATTATTTGTAATAGCCAGAACCTGGAAACAACCTAGATGCCCCTCAATGGAAGAATGGATGAAGAAAGTGTGGAATATCTACACATTAGAGTACTACGCTGCGGTAAAAAACAATGACTTCTCGAATTTTGCATGCAAATGAATGGAAATAGAAAACACTATTCTGAGTGAGGTAACCCAGACCCAAAAAGATGAATATGGGATGTACTCACTCATAATTGGTTTCTAGCCATAAATAAGGGTCACGGAGTCTACAATTGGTGATCCTAAAGAAGCTAAGTAAGAAGTTGAACCAAAGGAAAAACATATAGTTATCCTCTTGGCTATGGGAAGTAGACAAAATTTCCGGGGAGAAAATTGGGATCTTGGGGGTGGGGTGGGATGGGGGTAAGGGGAGATGGGGAGAGAAAAGGGAGAAGGGAAGGAAGCTGTGAGTGGTGCATCCACACTGTGCTGCAACAACACACAGAGGTAAGGTTTTCCTGTGTGTGCTGTAAATAAAAAGCTGTGGTTGTGAAGGAATGACGTGCTAGATTCCTGGCCCATCAGCCACAGTCAGCTTCACCTTCTTGGTAAGCAGCCAAACCTCAAGAGTAGAATCTGCCAAGGGGGAAAACAGTTTCGGGGAGACTTACTCCGAAGCTTCAATCTTTTTGTTTTTGTTGTTGTTTGTTTTTCCAGACCAGTGGAACTCACTACGAATCCAAGATGGCCTTGAGCTCACAGACATCCTCCTCCCTCCACCTTCTAAGCACTAGGACTACAGGTGTGAGCCAGAACACACAGCTATCAAACTTCAATCTTTTAAAGAGTTAGGATGTTCCCCTTTTAATAATAAAAAAAGAAAATTGTCACAGAGTAAGTGAAAATCGGAGCCAGGCACAGTAGCTTTAGGCAGGCAGGAAGATTTAACTGAGGCAGGATTGCCACAGATTTGAGACCAACCTGGGCTAGACATTGAGTTCTGGGCCAATTAAAGCAATAAGGTAAGATCTTGTATTGGAAAAAAAATGAACTGTGAGCCGGTGCTGTATGCCTGTAGTCCCAGATACTCAACAGGCTGATGCTGGCTGCAAGTTCAAGGCCAGCCTGGGTTACTTAGTAAAACCCTGTCTCTAAAAAAGAGGGCTGGGGTCCAGCTCAGTATAGAACAGAATCTTAGCAAGTACTTAGTCCTCAGTACCACATAAGAGAGAGGGACATAGACATGGGGAGACAGAGAGACAGAGACCAGAGAGACAGCTCAGTAAGTGAATGCTAGCTGCAGAGCTCATCGGCCAAGTTCAGTCCCTAGAATGATGTGAAGAGCAGGTGAGTGGTTACACATCTGCAATCCCAGCGTTCCTTCAGTTAAGATGGGAGGGACCAGCTCCCGGGAGTACATGAAGCAACAGAAACAAGAGCGACTGAACATCAACAAGGCGGAAAGCAAGAACCAACTCCTGAAAGTTGTACTCTGCCTTCCAGTGTACACACACACACACACACACACACACACACACACACGTATGGGAAACAAGTAAAAATCTATTCCACCTTAGCTAAGAAACTAGCAAAGAGATCAGAAACCGAGACTGTGAGACACATGGCCTCTGTCCTATAGACATTCTCGGTGGGCGGATTCAGTATAAAATCAGAGTGAACCCATCATTGCAGAGGCAAAGAACTGAGCAACACCTCTACGGAGAGAATTCAGGAAAGGCGAGAAGCAAGCTGCAGTGACTTACTACCTACGGGAATGAGATGAGTGGGCTGTGATTCTTCCAGTTTGTTTCTCAACCAGTCAAAATCCTGGTATCTTCTTCGAACAGAATATTCTGGCAAGTCAAACTCCATCCGAGTACTCTGCAAATAAGAAGAGAGAAGGGGGAATATGAGTGGGATTACATTCTGGCGAAAAATACATTTTTAGAATACCCGAATCAGGCCAGGACGCACTTCCTTCCACCCATTCACCAGACAAAAGGCAGCGTTTCCCAGCAGGTTACAAAGTCAAGGAGCTAGGTTGGCCCGGTACAGTGGTGCTAGCCTTTAATTCAAGCACTCAGGAGGCAGAGGCCTCCTGATCAAGGTCAGCCTGGAACTAGAGTTATTTTCAGGACAGACAAGGATACACAGAGAAACTGTCTTAAAAGACCAATAAGAGAGTGTGTGTGTGTGGGGGGGGGGGGGAGATAGACAAACAGAAAGGATGGAAACATCAGGTCTTTGGTTTGGATTTGATTTTTTTCCCTATCCTCAGGAAATGGAACTCAGCAATTCTTCAGAATTGTCTACAACATTTGATTCATTTCCTCTAGCTTAACTCTGGGAGGGCTGTTGGTTGTTTTCCCTCAGAATAATACAATTTCAGATATTGCTGCTGAACTGAATCCAAGTCCATGAAAAGGAATGTTATCCCCACCTCTGTGACATATGCTGACGAGCTTTGCTGAAGGCACAGGGGACATAATCAAGAAGAGACGACAGAAGACTCTTCCTGTGGGAGGCGGAGCCTAAGACTTTTGCCAGTACTCAAGGTAGAGGCAAGGGAACCCAGTGAGTTCAGGACATCCTGCCTACGCAGACTCACAGTGCAGCTAGGAAGGCTGCACAGTGAAACAGAACAACAACAAAAGGCTTTTGCTTCATTCTGCCAGAACAATGACCTTGAAAGCAAACTGTATTGTAGATCTAGATAGAAAACATCTAGAAAAACATGCCAGTGTGTTGCAGGAAATGCTGATGATCTATGAATTTTTAAAGTTTTCTGAAATGCGATCACATTCCTTTAATAATACACCAATGTTAAACAAAATTAAGTTACACCGAAATACAGTTTTTACTTTTTAACTGTTATTTCTTCTCAGATATACCATTCCTCTCTGGGTGGTTACCGCAGTTGCTGATCTCAAATATGAGATAAAGCACAAGATAAAAATTAACTATGTCACATTTCACAAATTTATTCTTTCAGACCCTAAGTCTGTTTTAATCCAAGACTTCTAAAAAATCTTTAAAATACCTAAGGAAGAGTTGTCCACCAAACAAGACTGTGAACAGCTTTTGGCTCTGAGATTATGATGTCATTCTCCCAAAAGCTGTCCTCTTGGCCTGAGCAGAACTGGAAGGGGAGAGAGATGGCCCTCAAGGATTGCATCAGCTCCCCATCTAGTCTGTCACACTGTAAGTATCCACGAGACAGAACCTTCGCATGTCAAAGCATGCAGAGTGGGACGACTTGGAGGAGACATCACAAAGGTCCTGCTGAGTTATCAGGAGGCTTTCCAGAGGAAGTGGAACTATGGATGACCTCAGGCACAGCATGGCAGAATCCCACTGACAGGGCTATGCTGTGCTCTTTGGCCCCAGTGGCAGGAAGCACCCATGCCAGGTTCCTGAAATACATGGAGTCCTGCGTTTTACTTTCCTCAACATTACAAGCTTGGAGGGAGACACTTACAAGAACCCTCTCAATACCCAGACCCCAGAAGAACACCTGTCAGTAGTTAATGAGGGAAACAGACAACGGGGTCTCTCCCTCTCCCTTCCTAAACATTCCATGAACAAAGTGACCATGATTCTTATGCTCATCAAATCAATTCCACAAACCACCATTTATGCAATATTCCTACTTTGTGAAATCAATACTTGGTAACTACAAAATGTAGGGGAATGCGTTACAGTGTAGTGATGCACAGATATCCTGACTTATCAGGAAGCCAGGCTACCCAGAGCTGCAATAGGGCAGCTCAGCCCTGGAGGAAAGGTGTCCTGAGTATTGGGAAGCCAGGTTACCTGAAGCTGGGTGTGGTGGGGGATGGTCAGGATATAGGGATCCTGCTCTTCTGGAGAGTCGCTATTCTGCTCTGTTCAAGGGAACATCCTAGCAGAGCTGTCTGCTTCTTCTCTAGCCCAAGATGTTTCTTCTTTTGCTAAGACTCTGCTAAAGGAGAAGCCCCTGCAGAAATGTAGCAATCTCCTCCAGCTCAAGTGAAAAGTTGTTACTTTTTCTGCCGGCCTTGCTCAGACCCCCTTCAGGAGCATCCTAGCAAGGTTCTTCTGTTCTGCTCCATCTTGCTAAGGCCCCCTAAGGAACGGTCTCAGCAAGTTTTTTTTTTTTTTTTTTTAGCTCGCTCTCCTAAGGGAGGTCCCAGCCAGGTTCTTCTAGTCTGTGATGGTGAATGAAGGTGGTCACCCAAGACTCTTTTGAGAAAGAGATTTGTTTGGGAAGGAGAAGTCCAGGGGAGTGGCTGCCTCTGCCAGGGAAGGATTAAGGGCAGCTCTTAACTGAAGGGGCAGAGAGGCTTATATAGGTTTATTTTAGGGATGGAGTTTTCCCAGGGAGAAGGAGGATTGGTTAGTTTTTCCCTGCTCGGGGACTGGTCAATTTAGTTGGTCAGGGCAGAGATGGCTCTGACTTTGTGGTCAAGCTGTGTTTCTTTCACTGGTTCTTTTTAGCTTTTTTTTTTTTACTCTAATCTTAGGACCAAGGTATATTTCTTTCACTGACTCTGGGTTCAGAGTCAGGGTGCTCAGTGATTGGTTGGTTTCCTGCTCCAGTTGTCCCTTTTACCCTACACAAAAGGCACAAGAAATGGTATTTTGCTTCAAACATTTCTGTATCTGGAGATTTGGCTCCACTCTTCTGTATGTTCAGGTTATATTTGCTTATTTTAAAAATACAAGAAAAATAATGAATGAATGAAAAATATAAAAATGGATTTAGTACTCTAAATAGAAAACACAATAATATTTAAATTTACAAACTTATACTTTTTCTATACATATTCATTCAGTTTCTGTATCACTTTAATACATCCTGGACACCTTTGTGTCCAGACCTTTAAAATCACTTAACATATATACAAGGACAATATTTAACTGAGTAACTATAACATAATTAATCCCTATTCAAATTGCTTCTGACTTTTAATCAATAAATAATATTAAAGTAAACATCACTGGCCTTCTATCCATTTATCCCACTAAAATAAATTCCTAAGGACAGAACTGCTAGATAAGGGGTGTGTGTGTTGTATATTTTTATTTTATTTTTGAGATAGGGTTTCACTCTGTAGACTAGACTGGCCTTGGATTCAGAGATCTACCTGTCTCTGCCTCCCTAATGCTGTGACTAAAGGTGTGTCCCCGCTCCGACAGTATCTCCTAGTGCTCATCGCTGCATACGCCAGCTTCTGGGGATCCTCCTGCCTCAACTCCCACCTCACAATAGGAACACTGGGGTTGCAGGTGCACTGCCATGTCCAGGCATGTGAGTTCCAGGATTCAAATTCTGGTCTTTACCATGTGTGACAAACATTCTATCTAAGTCCTGTGGTGTATGGATGTTTTCCCTGTATGTATGTCTGTCCACCATTTATGTACCTGGTACTAGAGGAGAACAAGAAATGGCATCAGATTCCCTGGAACTGGGGCTGGAGATGGTCATAAGCTGCCATGTGTGCAGGAAATTGAACCCATGTCCTCCTGAAGAACAGACAGAGCTCTTTAATCACTGAGCCATCTTTCCAGCCCCCTCAAAATGCTTGTGTTTTAAAGGTTCCACTAGGGACCACAGGGGATGTACTACTTGTCCGACACAGCAGGGTAAATATCATCACGAAACAGAAAGGCTCATTTTTTTTTTCAGCTCAGAATTTATTTATTTTGAGCACAGCTTATTCTCTAAAAGCCATACTAACACATAAAATATAATCAAATGACAAAAATTAGAAATAGGAGAGAAAGATACAGGAAAAACAAGGACAGGGAGCCTAGCACCCTGGAGGTAAGAGCAAGGCCAGCACAACAGACTTGCCACACAACACTGCAAAGCTGCTGACAGTGGGCCACATGCATGGCTCTGACTTTCTGGAGAGGAGCTGGGAGAGCAGAATCAGGAATTCATAAAACATTTCGATCATCAAAACTCCGGGGACGAGTATAGTGAGTTTTCCTCTGCGAAATTCAGGGTTTCTAATCTCTAATGTCAGTAAACAGAAAAGCAGGCAGACAGACAGACACACAAATTCCAATCATTAGAGAGAACCTCTACATCACCCTTCTGTCCTGTGTCTATAACCTACAGTGTCCATCAGAGGTCGCCCATCACTCCAGTCAGATCTGAGAAAGTAATTACGGCAGAGAAGCCTAGCATGGCTACTCCATAGGACACCTCCGTGGTCATCTCTGGAGACACTGGCTACAAACCCACAGCCTAAAACACCCAGCAGGACAGCCTGCACATGCCCGCGCAGATCTCCCACCAGACCTAGAAGGAACAGGGCTCTGGGAGCTCAATGTCCTATATAGGAGTAACTTTTATCCTACACATTATTTTGAACAGACTTTTTGAAAAGTTAAATGGTACAAAAGCAGTCTCCAACGGCAAAAGAATCCTTGATGAGTTTATTGAAACTGGCCAAAACACTAAATTAATTTAGCAACTGTTGACTTTCACAAACTCAAAAGCTAAGATTATGCTCTGCTAACACCTGAGCATTTAGCAATATCAGGCAAAGAGCAACACACACTCTACAACAGGATCCCCAGCACTGTGAAGTAACCTCAACCTTCCCTGAATCATCAATCAATCTTAACACTCCCTGCATCACCAAGCAACCCCAGCCTTCCCTGCATCACCAAACAAATTCAATACTCCTGGCATCACCAAGCAACCACAACACTCACTGTATCTCCAACCTCAACACTCCCTGCTTCACCAGTTATTAAAAAGCTGCAGACAGCTTGAAAACATCTGGACCTCCCTTTGTTCCTGCCAGATGATCTTGTCACTCTGCCCTAGAGAAAACTTCAACTATAAGCAAAGACTCCCTTAACTCCCTACCATGAGACATATGCTT